GTAAAGAATGAACACTACGTTTTTGTCTTGTCTCAATACAAAATGTAACACTAAACTAATTAAGGTAAGGTCCTGAAATGAGAAAGCATGAGGCTAACGCTCTTTCCACGGCCATCCTCCAGGCTACAGGCCTGTCCTTGGTTGAGCCACCCTGGCCCCGGGTCACTGCCTCGTCTGCTACCTGGTCCTAGAGGTCTCTGCTCTGCTTAGTCATCTCCAAATGCATTCAGGAAGTGCGACAGGGTCAATCCTCCTGCCTCAGCCTCCCAGGTGTGCACCACCATGCCAGCTTTCCAGGACAGAATTTTAAGTTTTTCATTAGACTTCCTGTGTCCCCAACAGGTGACTTATGCGGTGCATCTTGTCGCTGCAAAGAACCCTGTTCTGTGGAAGCCAGAGTTCCCTGTCCGGCCTTTCCCAAACCACAGGCCAGACAGCAGCTTCTGGAAACCAAAACAGGCACCAAAGCCAACTCATCCCGAGCCTCAAACTCTGGGAAGAGGTTAGCAGGATCCAGCTGAAGGCAGGAGAGGGAAAGAAGAGTTTGCCACTGAGATTGTCCACCGAGGGGTTCTAACAGCAGACAGCAGAAAAACACCTCTTAAGTACTTTGAAATAATCTCCCTCTCAACCTGTGAGTGAGAGAAATACAAGTATAATGAAGCTTGGGAAAAAAAACAAGCTTTTCTGAGCCTGCCATAACGACTTCTCAGGGATCTCACTTAAGTGGGCTGGGATGTGCTGGCTTGAACCCTGAGGTGCTTGGAGACGAGGTCTTTCCCTCTCACATGCGCTGAAACTGAAATGACCCACGATGCCAGTGCGGGCTGCCAGTCTTGGTCCAGGCTGCTCCCTGCCCTGACTCTGGTTACCACCGTGCCAGGTGTATGACACTTCTGCAGTGAGATCTGTCAGCAAGAGCGAAACAGAAAGCCACCCACCCACACCCGGCAAGGCACAGTGGGGACACGTCACATCTGCTCGGCAGGAGTCCCCTACCCGGGCAGGACAGTCACCTTCCAATCACTGCAGCTTCTCAGCGAGTCCGAGGGGGTGCAGGGAGGGTGGCAACAGACAGATGACTCACGGCCAGGCAGTGCTGGGGCCTGATGAAAGCAGAGCGCACCTGGGTGCATGGGGAGTGAAGCGAGCACGGTGTGTGCGCCCGTCCAGCCCTCCTCGCCCCGGTCCAGCTGTGTGGACACATGGCTGCTGACCACCACGGCGGACTTCTGAGACCTCTGGCTGACAGCCTAACCTGCCAACAGTACAGGTCCTCGAGAGATTGTAGGACAAATACCGTGCTGGTCAAAGTCACGTGAGATTCTTTTCCAGTGTGTTTCCTAACCCAACATTTCCCGAGGGCTTTGCGTCGAAAGCTAAGGTTTTATCTACTGAGGCTATATCCTGCTGCATTATCCAAAGCTCAGTCTGAAAATTCAGCATCCAAAATGGGGCTAGAAATAATAGAGGTTGCTTTCAACAGCTACCCTTAGTTAATAATGACAACTATAGAGTAGTATTTGCTTTATTCATTTATCACCGCACTGACTCGGCATGGGATATTAACTCCCATTTAATAGATGAGAAAACTAAGGCCTGGTGTGGTTAAGGAGCACTGGAGTGGTGGGCGGAAACCACATCCAACACCAAAGTCCCTGCTTTTCCTTCTCAGGTCAACCTGACCCTGAACGTGTATGTAATAGGGCTCAGGGGCTGCTTCCATATTTAGGTGAGGCTACATAAATCAATCATTTCCTAGCTACGAAAATAGCACTTTTGTTTTGCTTGTTTGTTTCTTTTTTAGCTTTTTTTTTTGAGACAAGGTCTCACTGTATAGCCCAGGCTGGCCTAAAACTCCTGACAATCCTCCTGCCTTAGCCTGCTGAGAAAATAGCAATTGAATATATCTGAACTTGGTATCTCAGCTGAGACTTCACCTTCTCCCTTGTTCTAATACCTCACAGCAGTGACACCGTATAAGGAACATCACACACACCACTGCCACTAAGCACAAGGTCCAGAAACCGTGTTCTCGAGTTGTTGTTTTGTGGGATTTTTTTTTTTTTTTCCAATTTCACTTCCATTTTGCAGCTCCGTCCTCTCCGTGACTCATGTTTGGCCCTTCCCTCATTCAGAGCACTAGTACTGACCTTCAGACCCAAGCGCACACCACTCAACTGCCACTGTCTCATCTGGCCACGTTCACACACAGACCGAATGTGGAGCGGGCACTCAGAACCCAGTGGCCGTCTGCATTCACACCTCAAGATTCATAACAGCGTGTGGTAAGCCCTGTCATCCTTAACGACGCAGGCTTTCACACGTCCTAGCTGCATCTGATGTACAATTTTCTCCCCCAGACATGGAGATGGAACCCAAGGCCTTTGCCACTGAGCTACATCCCCAGCCCTTTCTTAAACTGTAAGGCAGGGTCTCACTAAGTTGCTGAACTGCCCAGGACACAAACTTCCCATCCTCCTGCCTCAGCTTTCCAGGGATTACAGGCCAAGTACCACCAACCAAGCCCAGGTCAATTTTCTGTCATTAACCATTATAAAAACAGAAGCTTAGAGACAGTAAAGTGAAGTCAATAACCTGTTGAGATTTTCTTCCATGCATTTGCTCAGTGAGCACACTTAAGGAATTGGTACTATCTCTCCAGAATATGAACTTGTAACGTCAGCTCCAGCAGATGCCAACGCAGGGAGGGTCCAGGAGGGGTCCTGAGGCCCTTGGGAACCACCTAAGGGCTGTGCTTCTTGGGTCCAGCACTCTCTAACCTAACTGAAAGTTATCATTATCATCAAATGAATGTCAAATCGCTTGATAGAGACACAGAAAAACCGGACAGGGAGGGGGTTCTAGGCCCTCCTGATAATGCAACAGTTAAGGAAAAGGAAGATATAGGGAAAACACCAGGATAGTACACAGAGGAGACAACAGGGGACTGAAGACTTCTGTGACTCAGACCAAAGGATAGGAGTGCATATTTCCAAGATGAGCCACTAGCATTCCTTTGGAGAAGTGAGGGTTTGTCAGGTCAGTCCAACTGCCGAGAGCACACTAAATATAGGTACTAAGAACATGTCTTTTGGGAAGGGGGGCTGGAAGAAGCGGGTGTGGAAAGCACAGGGTGCCTCAGATGGTCAAGGCAAGGTCATCTGCAAATTCTCACTTTCACAGCTGGGCCCTTGGGCCATTTATTGTCAGAGGAGAAATTTCCCTGTCATTAGGGTATGGAGAAAAATCTGTTATTTTATTAAAGAGTGGATCTTCAAAGTTTATAGAGTAAAGGTCTGTTTTTTTAAAAAATCTGGGAAATGAAAGAAAATATTTGACTATACAGTCATCTTTGGCTCTGAGTGAAAGCATTATAAATAAAACATCATGATTGAAGGGTAACTTTGAAGTGGCAAAACAAAAACAAAAGATCAATACTATATTACTACTATTAATGCTACTATAAAAATTCTAACAGAAGAGGACACGAAAGGACAAATTATGCTTTATTGTCACAGAAGCCCATGTAAAATACATTTGCTTAAGGTCCTGACTTTCTCTGCACGTGGGAATCCTTGCTTCAACCCCCCACAGACCCACTTTTATGGGGGATGTAGCTGCTGGAAACTGGATTATGAAGCAAGCTTGAGTCATTTTATATACTTACGTGTCTTAGTTTTCCACTTCTCACCTAAATTTCCTGGGCAGTATCTGGGGTTTTTCTTACAGGTTAAGATTATCTGAGTTAGGAATGTTGCCACCTCCACCTTCTGAAGACTTTCGTATTTCCTACAGGGAGTCAGGCTTGACCATGCACGTGGTTTCAAGATGGCCCCCCACATACAGCTGTCATTAAACCAGTGCCACAGGGAAAACAGAGAGGGAGGGAGTCACTGGCACCCTCCCCGCCAGCAGCCTCAAGGTCATCTACAGAGGGGAAACCGGAGATTATGCAACACTCCCCCATTGGGATCCTCCAGACAATTTTTACAAGAGTCAGAGAGTAAACTCATGTTTACTGCTGTCCCTGTTACCCCAGGGACAATGACAGTGGGCCTTCCACACATCATGTGACTTGTATGGACACCCAAATCACAGAAGACTCCTGTGGAAGTTTATATTTTCCTCTTTTGGGGAAGAGGGTCACTGAGGATTAAACCCAGGGTCTTCACACTGAGCTATATGCCTAGTCCCTTTTTAAATTTTTTATTTTGCGACAGGGTCTTGCTAAGTCACTAAATTGCTCATGCGAGGCTCAAACTTGTGATCTTTCTGCTTCAGCCCACCAGAGTGCTGGGACTGTGGGCCTCCACCACCATACCTGGTGGTACTTTGTGTTTTCTATGATAATCTTTCTGTTCTCTTAAGTTTTTAGAACAGAAACACTTAAATCTGCAAACAGGGTTCCCAAAGCAAGTAAACGGGGCTCGTTAAACAAACAGATGTAAATACTGAGAAGTACAGTGACTTTGTTCAAGGTCAAACTGCAAATCAATGGCAGGTGGGAGAAAGGACCCCTGCAGTCCAGCTCCCCTCCCTGCACACAGCTGGCCTGTTACAGAGCTTCTAGTCATCCCTAAAAATAATTTAACTTTTAAAAATGGGAACCAAACTGCCTTTTCTACAAGATTCATGAGTCAGCCCCTCAGGAGAGTGAGGTGTGGGGGTGAAAGCTGGCAAGGCCCCAGTGATCCTACTAACTGGGTCGATGGGGCACTAGGGGCCAGAGCTGGTGAGAGGCAGGAAGGGGCAAGGACTAGCCTGTCACCCTCCCTCCAGAGCTGTGCAAATAAGACATCTCTAATCCCAGGAGTTCCGCCTGCAATGCGGGCAGGAGGCTTGGCTGCAACTGAGATAATTTCCTATTTTTCTTTTCTATGCTGGGTTGAAAACTACATTGCAGAACAATTTTCAAAGGTGCCCCCCATGACCAGTTGAAAAAGGGACATACATCCCTGCTACCTCTGGAGGAACAAAGCCTGTTTCTGTGGATTTACCTGGCGGGGCCACCCGGTCCTGGTAGGTGGGCTTCAGTTCACTGATGGTCAGCAGCATCACCTGGATGGTTCCGATGAAGATGCCAGCCAAGCAGCCGTAAAATATCACGTAGAACAGGAGGATCTTAACTACGAGGAGAACACAGGCACAGGTGTGATGGGGTCACACGTGCACACACGCCAAGTCCACCCTTCCCGGGAAGGAACAGGGCTTCTTCTGGCAATACTGCCTGGGAGAGTGAACCTCACTCTCGTCTGGAGGTTGGAGGTGGGGAAAGGTTCAAATACAATCAAGATTCTGTTGGAAATAAATTTATTCCCTCAAGGAATAAATAAATAAGATCACCAGAAAAAAAACTAAAGCCATGTTTGAGTGCTTATGCAATACATTTAAAATATAACAACACAGTCCCTTGGAGGCATATTTTCCTTGCTTGCTTATCCCCTGACACTAATACTGTGATCCGGGCTCTGCTGCTTCTCCATTTGCTTAAGTGCTTGAGAGTGTTTATGCCAGGATGGGTGAGAAAGCAATGAATGCAGAGAAACTGCTCTCCTCTCTACTACCAATCTACCTTTATTGTGTATCACTGGCTGAACACTGCTTTTTCATGGGGAAGGGGCGCATTAAGCAAACAAAGCCAGGAAATCCTACATAAAACTGACCCACACATTTCTCGTTTCATCTCCTGACTGGCACCAGAGTCATGACTGACAGAACAGAGGATGGAGTAGTTGACAGTGGTGTCGGGGGGTGGCTGGTAGACTCAAATGGGCTATCAGTTACTGGTTTACCAGGATTATCTCCCAGATTAGCCAGGGTGGCAGGATGTACTAGGCACTGCCTGGCAGTCCTGTTGGCCAAACAACTCGATGTGAATGCAAAAGTGGAACAAGCCAGCGGTATGGGACGCAAGGTATGGACGTAAGGTGTGGACGAAAAGGCAAGACTGCCCCAAGGAGACCTAGGTTACCACCAAAAAGGTCCACATCTCACAAATTCAACACCAAGGGCCGTAGGGCAAAGCCACAGAGTAAAAAAGTACCCCTGAAAAGAAAGTATACTAGTGCGGGGGAGGGGCAGGGTGGGCACAGGATTGTGGGAATTTGCCAGGCACCCCGCAGCCCAACTCCCCAGTCAGGGAGAATTCGGGACAAACACGCTGTAGGGTTGTTAAAAACAAGCAAAACACATAAAAGCCACCACACACATGATTAAGAGTAATCCCTTTTCAGCTCTACTAAAGAACAAATAAAGGAGCAAAGGCAAAAGCCAAGACAAGGAAGACTGAAAGGTTGCATAATACAGAGCTACAGAGCTGCCCGGCTGGATGGCTCTCTGCGGCAGGACAAGGGTTAAGTGCTGCATTCTGTAACCAGGCAGCAGTAGGCAAATGGCAAGGCCATGACGTCAAGAGATCTGGAAATTTTTTCCAGTGAATGCCCCGAAGAGGTGCAAGAGTTGGTACAACACAGTTAGCCAGAGAACTCCCGCAGCCCAGATTCACAATCTCTTCCTTCCCTATCTCCTCTTGGTGCTCTTAGCTTAAATCACATTTGTGTCTTCTCATAACTCCTATTTCCACAATCCTTGGACTCCAAATACCTACTTCTAACAACGTGGGAAGCTCATCATTGAGGCTACCCTTTAAAATACAAATAGAGCAACGGAAAAATTATTTTACAAACACAATGATTAAATTCAAGAATTCACAGCCCTCCCACCCTACCCACTGGACACCCTAAAAGAAGGGAGGAATTTTCCTCTGCAAAATGTTACTGAGAAAAATCTCCCGATGGTTACTCTGTGAGGTCACCTGCTTGCGGGTGTGGCGGTCCTATGAGTGGGCTCTCTCAGACACAGGACACCAGGGGCTGTTCCAAAAAAAAAAGAAAAAAGCTGGGAGAGAAGTCACACTGACTACCTGGGTGGCACGATGGAGGAGTAGGTAAGCTTCAGAGGCATTTTCCCTTTGAAGCAATTTTTCCTTCCTTTGTAGAAAATAAGTAACATAGAGGTTTTCAATTAGCAAAAAAACTGTACCCTTCAAAGGGTCACAGGAAGAAAAAAAAAGGTATCTGGGCCCAGTTGTAAATATAAAACACCACCAATGCCTGTATTAACTTGATAAAAAGGTAGAAAGCACAAAGTGGTTTGTATGTTATGGTTTCTCCACCAGGTGACAGGCTCGAGTCTCCTGCATCCATCTTGGTTCAAGAAAAAAATCTACCTATAAGCAAAACTGAGCCAAGGGCATTTTGCCCTCGTCCCAAGGGCATCCATGTTGGGCCCAGAGATGGAAAGGGGGCATCTTATCCCTGAGAGACAGCCATTGCTGCCACTTTCTCTGCCTAAGAAAGGCTCTGTCATTCCTCACAATACCAGGAAGGAGCAGATATGTTAGCACAAAACAAAAACCTGCATTTTTAGTCCATCACCTGCACCTTGGAAAATGGGAGGAAAGAAAAAACATCTGCATTCATAAATCAGCGTGTTGGTACTTTGTGGGATGGGACATCAAGACACAGACATTTACCCTCCTAGTCACGAAGGTGCTGCTTCATTAAATCTAGGCTTAAAGAACGACCTGTTCAAACTGCCTTACCCTCTAAAACAAATATTATCTTAAGAAGCATGGAATTGGAATGAGGAAAGAAATCCATTTATGATGGGAAAAACACTAGAGGGAAAATTACACAATGCATCTGGGGTTCATGCAGCCACTGGCCGGGAGACCTGGTGCACCCCGAGACGTGGAGCGGGTCAGACCACCAGGAACAGAAGCCCCAGCTGACCAGGCAGGAGGCCCTGTTCCGCAGTGCACCTCTGGGCCTCACTCAAGTTGCAAGGAGTTGCTAGGCAATGCCCACAGCCGGGAGCTTTCTCACCCTGCACACCTCACAGTCCTTCAGGTTTTCCCTTCCATATTAAGGAGGCACCGGGAACCCTTATGCCTAGGATCATAACCTCAACCAGTCTCCCCAAAATAAAATGAAAGACAAATAAAAAGCCATTACTCTAACAAACCCTATTTCCCATGGCTCAGGGATACCTGTGCCTCCCTGTACCACCAGTGAGGCCTCACCTTGACTAACCTTGATGTGTGATGCATTATTAACCCTTTACTTCTCAGTCTTGAGAGACTCACTACAGGCTGCATTTTTTTTTCTTTACAAAAATCATATATTCCAGCTTCTTCCATTTCAAAATGTCAGCCAAGCACTATTTCCCTGACTCATTCTTCTACTGATTCCCACAGATCCTCACAAACAGGAACAGTGCAGCGGCCCCTCGTCAGGGTTCTCTTAGCGACTGCGGGGGGTGGTGGCGGTGGTGAGGAGGAGGAGGAGGAGGAGGATGAAGATGGTATTGGAGGAGGAGAGGGCAGCGATGCAGCATGGGGGAGGGAGTTCCCTCCCTCCTTTCTGCAGTCACGACTCACAGATTTGCCTACAACTCTGCCCTTCAGAATGACCTTTAAAAAAAAAAGGCATCCTTCCGGGATAGGGAGAAAAAAAACCAGTAAGGTATCTAATTTTCAATGGAGTGGGGGAGTCCAGCCAACGAAGCAACAGGCTGCACAAAATCTCCTAAGACTGGCTGTTTCTACATTTGTGTGGTGAGGAGGAGGAGGAGGAGGAGGATGAAGATGGTATTGGAGGAGGAGAGGGCAGCGATGCAGCATGGGGGAGGGAGTTCCCTCTCTCCTTTCTGCAGTCACCTCTCACAGATTTGCCTACAACTCTGCCCTTCAGAATGACCTTTAAAAAAAAAAGGCATCCTTCCGGGATAGGGAGAAAAAAAACCAGTAAGGTATCTAATTTTCAATGGAGTGGGGGAGTCCAGCCAACGAAGCAACAGGCTGCACAAAATCTCCTAAGACTGGCTGTTTCTACATTTGTGCTGTGGACAGTATTTATTACGCTCATCCTTGACTGTCATCAAACCAAGCTACTGAACTGCTGCACCTGTCCATGGAGACCTTGGAAACAATCGAACTTGGCCATGTTTCCGGTCATGGGTCAGGCTCACGAGTCCGGACAGGGAGCCTGTCGGGCCATTTCTGGGTTGTGATGACTCCAGCCACGGCCGCAGACCACAGGACAGATGCTATGGCACACGGCCTCGCCCGCATTCCACCCAACCTCCGGAGCTTCCCCTCGCAGCTCCAAACCTCACGTTTGAGGACCTGGGATGTGGCCACAGGGAGAGATAGACCTAGGCTCCCCGAGCCTGGGCTTCCCTGGGAGAAAGGGCTCCGAAGCCCACAAGGAGCGGAGAACGCAGCGCTGCACACATGGCTCCTCCCGGCGCCCCCGGCCTGGGGACCCCGCCGCGCCCCGAGCCGACCCGGGACTTACACCAG